TTGTAAGAGTCTTCAAGAGAACTAGTGCTGGGCACCTTAAATACAAAAGGGCCTGATTCTTATGTACACAGGGCCCCTTTACCCTGCCAGAACAGAACTGCAGTATTCCTAAAACAGTGTAAAAGGGGCTTCAGGGCCAGATTATTAAAGGTATTTAGGTGCCTAGTGTCAGGCAAGGAAGCCTGCTGGGAAGAAGGCAGGTGACAGCTCTCTAGAGCTCCCAGAAGAGGCCTGGTAGAGGAACTTGCAAGGACCAGAATCCTGCTGACGAATATGCCTCTAAGAGATCTACAGGGAACAAAAACCTGGTTATTATGAAGCCCCAGATAGAAGGGCTGCAAAAGACTGAGTTTGGAGGGAAGTCTATAAGGAAGGAGACATCCTGATGAAGGACTTGAAAATATATAAACAAAGAGCAGGTTTATATGGCTGCTGAAGCCCCACTATACAGTGAAATAACTAACTGAGCCTGAGCAAGAAGGCTGAAAGGTTTCGAGTATTATATTGTGGTAATACAATACACCCAGAAGCTGGGTGATACGTTGGAAAGAGAAACTGAGATCCTGCTGCACAGGGTGTAGTATGAAATTCGATGTTAGGCATATATGGGCTACCTGTTGTTTTAGTGGGTATCTGACACTTACAAAAATAAAAACATCCACCTTTGTTACTGTACAGCTCTTGATTGCCTCTCCTGGTATGTGTTCCTTGAGTTGGCTTCAGTCACTGTACTTGCTACTGGGATTAGTGCAAAAGTAACTAATCCCTGTTACCTAGTAAAAGAAATGTTTAACCTCTTAAGTCTCCAGTAACACTGACATAATTCAGGTAATGCAGTCTTTAAAACCCCCAGGCTGTTTCAGGGAAGCTGGTTGTATGTGAAGAACATGCTCCTTCTCCTCCCAAAGCAGAGCATGGTGAAATCATATTGTTGCCAATTCAGTGACGGAGACCCAGAGGCTGATTAGCCAGAGTGGTTCAGTTCAAGCAAAAATGTCTCAAAGGGATCCCAAACATTTAGAACATAGATATGAACTGGAATTTGGAATTAGGGAATTTGCCGTCATAGATGGTTAAGAATAGCATCAAGTGGCACATGGTCTCTCTGGTAAAACCAATAGGGATATGTCCTCTTGACAAGTGGGGCTGTCCATCAGCCAGGAGTTCAAAGAAGAACAGCCCCCTTAAGGAATTTTCCAAGACTTCTGTTGCTTTCATGCAGGCAGCAGTAGTTCAATCCATCATTCAGTGTTTGTTGTTCAAAATATATCATATTTTCCATAGCAGCTTCATAACTGGACCCTGTCTGTAGGTCACTCAATACAACACCATATATTTTAGACAACTTTAAACTGAAATCCAGTCAGTGGTTTCTAATTGTATTGTGGAGGATGGCATCAACAAAGACAAAACTGTGTTCTAGAAATTTAGGGTTTTTTTAAAAGGTGGTCCAATTCCTTATAATGAAAGAATTAGATGCCAAGTGAATGAGCAATCATCCAAATCATGATGGTAAGTACTTTTCTAGCCCCAGGCCATATCATATTGGTAAAAATGCATGGGGGGTCTTTTAGAAAACAATGATGAAGTTAAGAAATGCAATAAAGGGTAGCACTTTAAAGACTAACAAGATGGTTTATTAGATGATGAGCTTTCGTGGGCCAGACCCACTTCCTCAGATCAAAGTGACTATTTTCTTCCACTATTTGATCTGAGGAAGTGGGTCTGGCCCACGAAAGCTCATCATCTAATAAACCATCTTGTTAGTCTTTAAAGTGCTACATAGTCCTGCATTTTGCTTCAGCTACACCAGACTAACACGGCTACATTTCTATTGTTTTACAATATGATGGCCTCATCACAACTGGAATTAAATTGTTTTAAATGCCCAGATTTGGTGGAAGGAAATCCCATTTTATGCTGTTTGCTGTGGGACAATAGAGTGCTTAAACAAATACAAGCCCCTGTTGGGGGAAAACAGTACTCTTCCACTGAAGCTATTTCTAAGGAAGTTTTAGGGCTTATCTCCATGTAATAGGAGATCCACATTGTGGAGCTCAATCTCTCAGGGTTCAGTTTATCAGGTTTATTAACAACCCACTACATCTACTGCTGATCACACTCCTAACAACTCCAGTATTCCACCAGGTCACAAGGAGTAAGGGAAGTTGATAGGAGAGTTTCCCCTGTTGACCTCCTGCACTGGGATATGCCGCAGAAATTCGACCTGAGGTATGTCAACGCCAATAATACGATTCACATAACTGGAGTTGCGTATCTTAGGTCAACATACTCCCCTAGTGTAGACCTGGCCTTAATGACTCAATCAGGGAGCATCAAGATGGGAGCTAGAGGTTAGATCTCTTTAAAATAGCATTAAAGGTTTTGTTTGGGGGATGAGGTCTATGTTCCCTCAAGCCCCATTGGCTTCATGGTTCTGATTACAATCAGGACTCACAGTTTTAGGAAGCAAATATTAACAAGACAAAGACTCCTTGCAGGTATAGCATAGCAATGAGAACAAATGAGAAATAATATACCAGTAAAAGATTAATTTAGGCCAAATAAACCAACCATTTTTCACATAGCCCTCAACCATTCAGCCCTCAGGATAAATCTCCATATTAATTGGGAGTTGTGCAACACTGACGACCATGGGGAGCCACATTAGATGTAACTGGAAAATAAAATGTTTCATTCTACCCACCTGTCACCACTATTGCTATCAGCTTGGGAGCTTGTGGGGAACCTAAGCTTCCTTACATCCTACATTGTTTCTGTACAATTAAAACTTTCATCTATGTATGATTATGTTTCTGGACCTTATGGTTAAAAAAGCCTGAGCCTAGCAGCCTAAACAGTAGCTCTACAGGGGTAGGAATGGTGGGGGTCTTACTAAAAGTCTAAGAAGGCTAATTTAAATGCCAGATTTCACTCCTGATCACTTTGGCAGAAAAATCTAGCTCCCCTACTTAGCTAGCTACACAGTGGCAGATGTGATTGGTGTGGAGCAGAGCAAAAAAAGAGGGTCTGTATCAATTTAAAAGAAAAGGTACACTGCTACCAGCAGTGGAGTCCTGTAATAACATCTGTTCTCTCCTTGATTTGAGGGTGGCTAAGCCTAAAGTTCTCTGTCAAAGGGTATGTCTACACTACCCCCCTAGTTCGAACTAGGGGGGTAATGTATACATACCGAACTTGCTAATGAAGCCCGGGATTTGAATTTCCCGGGCTTCATTAGCAAGTTTGGTATGCATACATTACCCCCCTAGTTCGAACTAGGGGGGTAATGTATACATACCGAACTTGCTAATGAAGCCCGGGATTTGAATTTCCCGGGCTTCATTAGCAAGTTTGGTATGCATACATTACCCCCCTAGTTCGAACTAGGGGGGTAATGTATACATACCGAACTTGCTAATGAAGCCCGGGATTTGAATTTCCCGGGCTTCATTAGCAAGTTTGGTATGCATACATTACCCCCCTAGTTCGAACTAGGGGGGTAATGTATACATACCGAACTTGCTAATGAAGCCCGGGATTTGAATTTCCCGGGCTTCATTAGCAAGTTTGGTATGCATACATTACCCCCCTAGTTCGAACTAGGGGGGTAATGTATACATACCGAACTTGCTAATGAAGCCCGGGATTTGAATTTCCCGGGCTTCATTAGCAAGTTTGGTATGCATACATTACCCCCCTAGTTCGAACTAGGGGGGTAATGTATACATACCGAACTTGCTAATGAAGCCCGGGATTTGAATTTCCCGGGCTTCATTAGCAAGTTTGGTATGCATACATTACCCCCCTAGTTCGAACTAGGGGGGTAGTGTAGACATACCCAAAGAGAGAAGTGAGGACAAATGGAGAAAATGAGTGGGATTCTTACCCATTGTCTAGGGAGCTACAAGAGAAGGATTTTCCCTGAAGCTTTCCTTTCTCCTTGTCAAGCATCAACCCCTGTGTACAGTAGCCTACCCGCACACCGGACTTCCTGCCAATTATTTGCTCTGTTCAGCACATCAGGGAGCTGGAAATGATGTAGGACACAGACACATTGCAACTGGAGATAGGAGCAGCAGAGACTTCAGTGATCAAGGGTTTGGGGAAAGGAATAGGGATCTGCTATGACAAATCCTCCTCCCTGTCCAGATATGGGGCAGTGAAGAACTTAAAATTCCTTGGAAGAACAGTTTTGTGGGTAATGTGTCAAGAATTGGAGGGGCATGGTAAGAGTAAGCACAGTGGCACCTTGATAGCCATCACTAATGGTATAACTTGCAAAAGCCTTTAGGATGCTATCAATTTTGCCAGGGGCCAAACTGGCTCCTAGCAGTCACAGTGATTGGGGGAGAGACAAAGTGGCTTAAAAAGCATCTTTCCCATCAAAACGCTTTTCACCAATATTTTCAAGTCTCTCCATTCCCATTGGAGTCAGGAAACAAACTAGTGATTGAATTAAAAATTACACACGGAAAGAGGCTATACTGAACAGAGGATGGTAAGCTTTCAATTACAGGGAGATTAGTAATACTGTAGAGGAGCATTTAAATATTCTATAAAGTCTCCTTCTCTATGTGTTTTGGGCTTTGCTTACACTGGGAAGGTTTGGCGACAAAAGTGCTTTCAACATGCAAAAGTTGCCAAGAGTGAAAAACAGTCAAACTATGTTTTCTGCCTTCCACTGTTGACATTTCATGACCACATTGCTAGCACCCTGTCCAGAGAAATAGCAAAGCAATGTAGGTAAGCATCCCACAATGCAGTAATGTGGGAGGGCAGAGCCAATCCTTGCACTTCTTGGGATTCTTTCTTAGCTCTGTGAGCTCTCCAGGATGAGGAATGTCAAAGCAGCACAGCAGTCTTTCCAGCTCTCCCCCTGTAGCAGCAGTCTGTCTGCCACGTGTTCTTAGCAGGGATGAACAGTAACATACCAATGAGTTGTTCTTTTTTTGTTCCCCAAACTGCACAGCTCACTCAGCTGTCAGATACTTCCGGAGCTTTGAAAGGGGAGGAGCACATGCTTGCAGGGCAGCACAGGTCACAAAATAGGGAGCACAGCCATCAGGGTAGGTATTGTGGGACACTGGTGGACATGCAGTTCTCTCGACAAAACAAACAGAAGTCTGCACTGGCTCTTTGTCGACAGTAAAAGGAGGGGAAATGGAAAAGTCTCTCACAGGAGTGGAAGATTTTTGCCACTGAAACTGGCTGTTTTTCCTGACAAAAGTCACATTATGGTGTAAATGCTTTCATAGTTTTTGGTGACAGAACATGCCAGTGTAGATAAGGCCTTAGAACAATTCCTACACAACCCTACTGGATTCATCCCTATTAAATTCTATAGAGAATTACTGGATTTTCTCCTCTTTGCAGTATATTATTTGTTATTTTAAACCTAGTTTTGGTTTCACTATTCCAGGGGCTCTTTTTGCAAACATCAAAAGACCACTTAAGAACTGCACTCAGCTGCTACTATTGCATGCAGTTGTGAGCACTGAAAGTGCCTTCTGTAACTACTGCTGGTCATTGGGAGTGTGATGGGGGACAGGTAAACACAGCAGAGTTTCATATAAATGACAGCACCGTCATTAGAGGAAAAAGAAATACAGAAAAACCTACCTAAAAAGGCTACTGCTCCCAGCAAACCTAAAACAATCAGCTCTCTCTCTCTCCTTCCCCATTACTCCACCCCAACATGTGTGTGTGGAAGAAGAGGTTTAATGATTTACATTGTGAAACACAAAAAGTTAACCAAAAGCTTGAAACTGGCATTTTGATACTGAAGAAATGATACATTAGAAATGTGATGGATAGGTTCTGGATTCAAAAAAATGATGTAATCGGTTAAAATCTATGTTAAAGTGGGCAGTGTCAAGAAATTTAGACTCTGCATTTTCACTGCTTTAACAATTATATTCATCTTCAGGGGAATATCCTCCAAATACATGAGTATCCTCCAAATAAGATCCACTGCTATTGCCAAATGATGGGAAACAATGATTCTTATTTATATGGCCCCCTACACAAAAGCAGTATTTTATTCTCTCCTCTGCCTACCTCCACAGAAGCAAGTAACAAATACTGTTCCCAAAATCCAGCCAACAGAGAAAAACAAGAAAGCTGTGTTAATTTCAAGCTTCATTAGCAAATACAAAACAAAACCCAAGGACAAAAGTCATCATTTACCAAATGGAAAAGGAAAACAAAATCAATAGAGAAGGAAGTTTTATTTTAAGCTTAGAAGAGAGTATTGTAAACAATGTAAAGCTTAGAAAAGTATATGTACAGCAAGTATCTCTGATAACGGGGTTTTGGAGAGAATAGTGTGCACTAAAAAGATCTTGTGGAATCTTTAGATAAACTAATATTTACAGAGAAATATACCATGGGGGCATCAGAAGGAGACTTTTATTGAACAGGAATATTACACAGATTAAATCCAAACCCTACTGTTTGAGAAGCTTCATTACAGTTGTGCATTTTGTTATATTTTAACATAACAAAACCTGATTTTGTTAAAGGCAGTTTAACAACTGCAGATTTCCAAAAACTGTCAAAGTGTCCTGTTTGTGCTCCCTGTCTTGGCGATATAAGTTTTGCCATTGAAGTCAGTGGGAGCTGGAGTGGGAGCTACAAGTGATATTATGTTGCCTACACCTACTGATTTGATCCCAGGTGATAAGAAAAGAAGGCTCTTCTCCAGATCCTGTATTCCTAACACACCTAAAATCCCCAGTGAAGTCAACTGAAGTCCTGGGTAAGCAAGAAATAGGATGAAAGGTCAGGGCTTTCATTCGTTTCATATGCCACCTTCTTTTCAATGGTAAAAGAACATGTTCTCTCCAGATGCCTTTAGTAAATAAATAATTTAGTGACTCAGCAGAGATGACTCACTGGATGAGGATGGACAAGGGTTCTCAGGTCACTAGAGATTTCTACGCTAGACATTTTTGCTGGCAAAGTAATGTCAATGTGATTATTTTACAACATTTCTATACTGCAAAAGCCCAGTTATACCAGCATAAAGATGTTTTTGCCAATACAGGTATAATCTATTCTGCTTCCTACTACACAAGTGGAATTTTAATGGAAAACCTTTTCCTAGGTAGACTAGGCCTCATGTTCAATTATCTTTCTTTAAAAGAGTAGGCTATTCTGTATCTTTAGTTTGAGACACTCAAAACCAGATGGCACAAAATACTGTCAGGAACAATCTTGCACTGGTCCTTGAGGATGGACTAGGTAACCAAATAGGTTCTCCAATTCACCTATAAACCAATACATCTTACCAGGCTGGGAAGATGACTAACAATTCGAAATGTTTGAATTCCTCTATTCCCACCTACACACCATAAAACTAAATTTAGGGTTATGCACATGGCGACTCACACTTGCCTCCTCCTACCTCACCCCACCTTCTGATTTCTGAGGTGCTGAAAGGCAACTCTGAATGTCTGGTGGTTATAGATTCTAGAACTACAGGTATGGGGGTGCTGTAGCGCCCCCTGGCTTGAAGTGGTTCCCATGTATATATAGGATTTACAGTTTTATTCCATGGATCACAGCACTCCTACTATAAAAACTGTTCCAGGATCCCTGCCAGTGGTTCCCAAATTAAAACTCAATTAGGCAAAGGTTCTGCACTTGGAGTTCAGGGGACTTCCACTGAGAGATTCCACATTCAGAATGCACACATAATCAGGACCTTTGATTTCACGCAGCTCTCAAAATGAACTATAGAGTTACTAAAATGAAAAGTAGCACTCCAGCAAATTGAGTCGTTCCTTTCTTATACTTCTATTTTCAGCAGCAATATTTTCCCCAAACTGGTAAAGCCAAATCTTGTTTCATTCTATTGAAAAAAGATACATCAATATTCTTTCCAGCACAGACATAAAAATCGATAACAAGAATTCAGCCTTTGGGTCTGTTCTTTGCTTGTTGTTCAGATTGTGTCTAATACAGTAAAGCAAATAAGCTTTAAATATCTAACAGGGAATCAGTACCATGAATTTAGGAGAAAATAAACCAAAACCATCTTCACTTACCACATCCAGTTTGCAAAAAATAAAAATACTCAGCACATGTATGAATGGCTTCTTTAAAAAGAGAGCAGAGTTGATCTTTATTTTCATAATTTAAAAAAATCCTTAAAGTAAATATTCAGCCTTTATTTTACAGTAAGTGCTTTTTTAAATTGTCACGTCTTCACAAAATTGCTTTTAAATTTTGAAGTAAACTATTTTAAACAAAAATACTGTGCAACTTGAGCACTTTTTTTCTCTCTTAAATATTGAAATAAATAAAATAGTTGTCCTTTTTTCAGTTTGTTTGTTTGTTTTTCAGTCATTTCTATTGTAGATCAATTCCAGTTTGACCTGGGTTAACACACACACTTAAAGGATAGTGAACTCAAGACGTTTAACAAAGAAAAGGTTTTCTTTGTATTGCACAAACTTAGGGCATCCCAAAACTTCTCTGAGCAGGTGCCAGCAGGCTTTCCACAGTCCAGGCTCCTGTGCCAGATGGGAGGAGTCGGGCAAGGAGAGAAGAAATATCAAAGCATTCTGGCTTCTCTTGGCCTTCTTCGGAAATGGCTTGCTTGAAGGATGCTGGAGTCCATGAGGGCAGGGCAGACTGCAGAGGGAAAGGCAATACAAAATAAAACTAAAAACCCCAAAACAGACAAAAAAGCAATTCTTAAAAAAAAAAAAAGAAAAAGCAAAATCTTCCAGGTTGGCTCCCATTCCACTTTACACTTTAAAAATAAAGATAGACAAATCACAGTTTCAGTTGAATGTAGGTGTCCTAAAAGAATACCAAGAGAAGATAAAAGGGATGTGAAGACGTCACACCCAAAAATCCCCAAACATTGTGAACTTTTTCACTGTAAACATATAATTACATTTCCCCTCATTGTTCATCTCTGACCACTGCTTCTTGACTTGAGGTTAAGACCTTTGGCTTTTGAGATCCTGAGCTTTTTATGTTGTTAATAGAGCCACATGTATATGCAAGGCAAGAACACATGTTCCCTATCCTGAGGAGTTATGTGATGCCAACCAAATTTTAGAACTCATGCATGTATGTGGTGGTAACAGCCTTGTGATAATTCTGGAACAAGTGAAAAACTGAATATCACACCGGCTCTCCACCAACTAGTTCATCTCCCCAGGACTAACTTCTGAATTCCAAACCTCTGAACAGTTCCTATCATCTAGTGCAGTAGTCTATCACTAAAATATTTCTTTCCCCCAAAATGTGAAACCTTCTCATCTCCCTCACTCCCAAAACTGCAATGGTCAGAGGTTCCAGGACAGGAAATATTCAGTCCTGGAACAGTGATGCATTTAAGAGGCAAAATATCGGGAACTATTGGTGACCAAAAGAGATGCTGGGAGACAGGGGAGTTATCTTTTCCTTCTGGCCACAGCACTCATTTCTAGTTCCAGTAAATCATAAGCTATCAAGCTTTAAAATAATGAAACCTGACGTTTCCAAATTATATTACAATTTTCTTCTTTTTCATGATACTAAAGACAGATAGAGGGGTATGAAAAATGGAACCAACTCAGTTGCTCGAACTCTAAAACATTTCAAAAGCTTTTTTTCCTATGAAATATATCTTTTACACACACGTTAATAATTACACCCTACAAATAAATATAAAAAACAGGAAGAATAGGGAACAGGGGAAACAGGAAGAATCGGGAACAGGATTTACTGAAAGCATCAACTTATGTTACAGTAAAGCACATTCTGGATAGATCTTATTTAAGTAAAACCCCCAGCAGAGTCAATAAGACATTTGCCTGAAGAATAGGCTAAGCAAAATTGATTGCCATTAGCAATGAGCCCAATCCAAAGAATTTGGATCAGGAGCCACATTTTGAACACTTGGAGTTTGGGGGTGTTTAGATCAGCGATTGTGTTTACAGCCCATCTCGAATAATCATGAAAAAATTCCCTAAATTATAGGAGGACAGCAGGGGGAGAATGTATTCATAACAGATGGTGTCCCAGCACAGGCTGGGCTCAGCCACTGTCTGATGCAGCTCTGATTGTCCCACGCATCCGCAGGCAGCAGTCTGAACCTCTGTTTCCAGCCAAGAACCAAAGTAGAGAGTTGTAAAATGGCAAATTTGAACTCAAAATGAGATACTAATATAAAAATGTAAAGATGGGGTTACATATAACTAATTAACTATTGCATTGGGATACAGATTAGCATCTCACATTAATTTATGTATTTATAGTGTGATTAATGGCAGTAGCAGAAAGCCCAATGCTGGTCCTATTGAAGCTAATAGTAACACTCTGACATGTGTAGCAGCAGAACTTAGGAGACACTAGTTAATGTGAGATGTTCATTTGTTTCCTGATGTGATATTTAGTTTGTTGTAAGAAATGCCCCCCATAGTTGCTTCATTCTCAGTTGCAGTTGGTATATAAAGAATAAAAATACAAGTAATCAAATTAGTGAGGAAGGTGAAGAGATGAAAATATGAACTAATTTCATTTCCATTCCTTCTTTGCCACACCCCCTAATAAAGCTCATGCCACATATGTACTCCCTGGCCATTATACCAGTGAGGCCCATGTAAATTCCCTACTCATTTATAATTCACTTGATCAAAATTATTCTAAGATATTAAACTGTCGTCTTCCAGTCAGAGGCAAGATCCATTCCTGTTAAGCAGACTCTTTAATTAAATCCCAGGAGTTGGATCATGTCAAGAATGGCCTGGACACTCTACCTGGCCTCTCCTCCCACCAGTCTGTCGCTCAAGCGGGGCTGCAGTCTCCTTAAACTCCACTAGCCCCACTTATAAGATTCAAGGAGAACTTGCAGGGGTTAGCTCAAGAAAATGCAAGTCTTCCTGCAACTATTCTGAGGTCCTGTGCTATGCATGAGCAGGAAGATGTTTAGGAATGTGCCCCCACATCATTAAGGGAACATACAAAAGCTTGGATGTACGATCTAAGAAACAATGGCGCCTAAACTCCAGCCTGAGCTGCAACTTCAAAGTGCTGTCCAGTCAGTTGTTTTTAGAGCACTACTATGAGACCTGCTAGCCCAGGCTGCAGAGCTCACTCCAGACAGATTGCAGTGTAGACATACCCTGAGGTTGTAAAGTGCAACATTTCTTTCCCTGCCTCCTCCCACCTCGCACCCCACCAATTTCTGACCTGGAATTCAAGTCCAGAAACTCTTTGTGCTTTCTCAGTTTGATCAGTGGCTTGTTTTCCTTGGGACACTACTAAGACTGTGCAACTCCCCCACTCCTAAAGAGAAGTCTGTGGCACTGATGGTGTCAGGATCTTCCTTTTTCCTCTGGTAATTACAGATCCTCTCACATAACCTCTGCCTTCAAACTGCATGTGATCTGACTCTCCTTTCCCCATTCCTACAAGGGGATGAGCATCCTGGTCATCTCTGACTTCAATGGCCAATCCTCTTCTCCTGTTCTCAACACCTCTCAACACTCCAGGATGTATTTAACTTCTAAGTCAACGTTCACTTCCATAGTCACAATTATGGCTATTCTCCAAGCCTGGTTTTCACGAGGCACTGTTTCCTCTCCCACCACTCCATTTTAGTATCCTCAGCGTTATCCCACATTTTGCTCAGCAACACTCTATCTGTGACATTCAATCTCCATAAATCTATCAGATTCCTCTACTGCTCTCTACTCTCTCCTCCCTTCCTTGACTGCCCTGCACTTTGCATATTGACTCCATGACCACTGTCTTCAAATCCAGCTTCTCCTCCATGCTCCACTCCTACACTGCTCAGCCTGTTCTATTAAACATGGACCTGAAGCTCTTTTCTTGCCTCTGTTATCTCACCATAGTAAGGATATCTGAAGAGTGATAGAAATGTAGCCGTGTTAGTCTGGGGTAGTTGAAGCAAAATGCAGGACAATGTAGCACTTTAAAGACTAACAAGATGGTTTATTAGATGATGAGCTTTCGTGGGCCAGACCCACTTCCTCAGATCAAATAGTGGAAGAAAGTAGTCACAACCATATATACCAAAGGATACAATTAAAAAAAAGAACAAATATGAAAAGGACAAATCACATTGCAGAACAGAAGGAGGAGGCGGGGGGGTGGGAAGGGGGAGGAAGGAAGGTAAGTGTCTGTGAATTGATGATATTAGAGGTAGGGAGAGTGGGATGTTTGTGAGTTAATGGTATTACAGGTGATAATTGGGGAAACTGTCTTGATAATGGGTGAGAAAGTTCAAAGACTTGTTAAGTCCCTGGTGGTAAGTGTCGAATTTTAACATGAATGACAGTTCAGAGGATTCCCTTTCAAGTGCAGATGTAAAAGGTCTTTGTAGCAGAATGCAGGTGGCTAAGTCATTTAGAGAGTGTCCTTTCTGGTTAAAGTGGCAAGAAACTGTTTTCTCTTTGTGATCTTGTCTGATATCTGTTTTGTGGGCATTAATCCTTTGGCGAAGTGTCTGAGATGTTTGTCCAATGTACATAGCAGACGGACACTTTCGGCACATGATAGCGTAGATTATATTTCTGGATGCGCAGGAATATGTGTTCTTGATCTTATAACTCACTTGGTTAGGTCCAATAATGGTATCAGCAGAATGAATATGTGGACAAAGCTGGCAACGGGGTTTGTTGCAAGGGAAGGTACCAGGGTTGGTATTAGTGTGGTATGTCCTGTGGTGGTTGGTAAGAATCATCTTGAGGTTAGGTGGTTGTCTATAGGAGACTATGGGTCTGTCTCCCAGAGCCTCTTTGAGTATGGTATCCTGTTCCAATATAGGCTGTAGTTTATTGATAATGTGTTGGACAGGTTTAAGTTGGGGGTTGTAGGTGATGACAAGTGGTGTTCTATTGTTGGTTTTCTTGGGTCTGTCTTGAAGTAGATGGTTTCTAGGTATTCGTCTGGCTCTTTCAATTTGCTTTTTTGTTTCTCTGGGTGGGTAGTTGAGATTTATAAATGCTTGGTAGAGATCCTGAAGCTTCTGGTCTCTGTCAGTGGGGTTAGAGCAGATGCGGTTGTATCGAAGGGCTTGGCTATAGACGATGGATCGTGTGGTGTGTTCTGGATGGGAGCTGGATGCATGTAGGTAACTGTATGAGTCAGTGGGTTTTCTGTAGAGAGTGGTGTCTAATTTTCCATTGTTGATTTGTACGGTGGTGTCCAGGAAGTGGATCTCTCGTGTAGAATGGTCCAGGCTGAGGTTGATGGTGGGGTGTAGGTTGTTGAAATCTCTGTGGAATATCTCCAGTGTTTCTTGGCCATGTGTCCAGATCATAAAGATGTCATCGATGTACCGTAGGTAGAGGAGGGGTGAAAGGGGACGGGAGTTGAGGAAACGTTGTTCTAGGTCAGCCATAAAGATGTTAGCATACTGTGGGGCCATGCGTGTACCCATGGCTGTGCCGCTGATCTGGAGGTATAAGTTGTTCTCAAACCGGAAATAATTGTGGGTGAGAACAAAGTTACATAGGTCTGCTATCAGGTTGGCAGTAGTGTCCTCTGGGATAGTGTTTCTAATTGCTTGTAATCCGTCTTCATGTGGGATGTTGGTATATAGAGCTTCTACATCCATGGTGGCAAGGATGGTATTATTGGGGAGGTTATCGATGTTTTGTAGTTTCCTTAGGAAGTCAGTAGTGTCTCGGAGATAGCTGGGGGTATTGGTTACGAAGGGTTTGAGAAGAGTGTCTACATAGCTGGATAGACCAGAAGAAGTCCTGTAACTACACTGCCTTCCTTCACAATACATTTATCCTTTCCTTCCTTCATCTCACAAGGCCAGATCAACCCAATGAGTGTCTACATACTAAATATAGCTACTGAGGATTTTGTACACTACTGAAAATAAATGTTGACTGAACCAGAGTCTGCTGTCAGCTACATTGACACAAATCCAAAGGAACTCCACTGAATTTTTTGGTATTATTTTGGATTCACATTAGGATCAGCAAGAAAATAATGTGGCCAATGTGTCTATTCAACTGTGAGTCCATTCCACACCATCCTCCACTTTGAATTCCATTCCTTCAGTCTTCACATTTCAATGCCTGGATTTTAATATATATATATATATATATATATATATGAATAAAATAACAGGTAGATAAGCAAAACAATGACCACAAGACTCTTATTCTTTTAGGGATTTGAGGTAATCAAACAGCTCTGTTCTTGTGGTTCATCATGAGAAGCAAGATGGAATATAAGCTTTTAATGAACACAGAAGGGTTTCAAACAAACTGTAGACTATAGAAACAAAATATTAGAAATCTGTTCCATATATTTGTTCAAACAAAAGAAAATGATTGTGAAAGAGTGAATGTTAAAGTTCATGTTTCATTGGCATGGTTAAGTCAAACTACCATTTATCTGACATTTGATCGATTATAATATGATTTGACATAGCAGTGGGAACATAGCCCAAAGAATAAAAACAGGAAAAGATTACCAACATGGAGGATGCTTTAAAGGAGATTTTCTTCGCATCATACATGCATTAAAATATACTATCTATAAAAATACAAATTTATTTGGTAATTTTAAGTAGCATTGTTTTTTTACAGGTCATGGGGCAGATTCTTAATGGAATCCAGAAGACAATGGCATCACTCTGGATTTACACCTGCATATCTGATGGCAGATTCTGGCCATTGGTTATTTCATTTCTGATGTCAATCATAAAGATACACAGAAACATCACACTCAGCTGTCTAATAACAAAATAAGGATTAGGGTTTATTTTAGCACTGGAATGTAGCACAAACAAAGGGGGAAGAAGCCATAAAATACCTGTCAGAAACTGAGCTATACTGCTCCAGCAAGAGAAATTGAGTAGTAAAAGTAACTGGTCCTTTTTGGACTTGTCTTACTCAAGAACTAAAATAATGTACCTCCAAAGTCTACAGTGTGCGGATGTGTTTCTATCATGAGTTTTGGTAACATGAGCACACCACTGAAGCTTCCTTCTTGGGGTGAAACTCTGGCTCCACTGAAGAGAATGGAAATGCTGTCATTGACTTCAATTGGGTCAGCATTTCATCCTTATGGCTTATGTTGGCATAATAAAATGACAAAAATATTTCCTTACAGTCTAATCCTGCAATGAGAGCATTGCCTGTACTAGGAATGCAGGGTGGAACCTACATGGTTACTGTTTCAGTATCCTTTATTCCCAGTTATATATATATTGTGCCAAAGCCAGCTCCTACAAAACTCCCATTGAATTGATACGGAACAGGCTCCTGTCTACTGTACATACCACAATCACACAGTTTACTTTAAAGGACTTACTGCTATAATAAAATAGTAAAGGTTTTTTTAAAAAATACACAGCACGAAGATTTCACAGTGACTGAAAAACATTTCTGTTGGGACATACCTTTCAAATCTGCCGCATAGCTTCTCGGTCCTGGGACAGCCGCTGGGAGGGAAGCACTCTCTTCTCCATTGCCCTCAGGACTTTAATGAGTATTGCTTTGGTTTATTTCAAGAGAAGCTATTGAAAAACTACACAAAGTGTCTCACAAGACACTTCAGATAGAAAAATCTGGGAATCAGAATGTGTGTGTGTGAATTTAAAAAAAAAGAAAGAAAAATATAGGTGAGGTATTTTTCCTTTTAATTTCTTCCATGATTCATTCTTCCAGCTGTTTTGTCTTTGCAGAGTCTGTAACTTGTCATTTATATTCCATCCCTGTGCTTGGAAATTGCTCTCCATGAGGTGAAAGGTGAAGAAGAGAAAAAAAAGGAAAAAAAATCCACACAGCGTGAGGAGGAAATAAAAAGGTGAGGGAGGAGGAGATCTCCAGTGAATGCGGAGGTGTCCAGAGAAATGATGGAAATGTGTTCCTCAATGTCATGGTCTTCTTCGGAGCTGCTTGCTTTTTCAAGCTGCTAAAAGTGAGCTGTAGAGGAGTATGTGAGGGGGAGTCACAAATTCCACATGCTACAGTAAGTGCAAAATCTCACATAAATGAAGTCATCAAACCAAGGGTTTCATTGTCATCTCAAACAATCTACCCCACAGTGGTTTTTCTAGAAACAGTTCTGTTATCAAGTAGACATCCGTTGCTTTTTTGTTTTTTGCAATTTTTATTTAAAATGTCTTTTTTTCTAATAATATATAGAATATATAAATAATAATAATTAAAAAATTATTTGGGTTGGTTTTCTGTTTTCCAACCCATTTTTATTTTTGTGGTTTGCTGATATATATTAAAAGATGAGAAAATCAACTCTGCTCATTATTAAAAAAAATATTAAATCCACCTTTTAGGTTTCCAGAGAGAAAGAGGGGAGGAGAAGAGAAACAAATGAATGTGAAAAAATAAAAAGTGAATCAAAACTTTCCATCACTTCAAAGTAGCTGTCTATGTTTTATATGTTTGTGCTTTCAGTGTACACACCCAAAGGGGAAAAACAAGGATCTAAAATTAAAAAAGTAGTAATAATAATCAAAGTAGTAAAAAATAATAGAAAATTGCTCAAAGAGTTTCTGTGTCTGTTTAATTATTTTAGCAGCCACCCTTTTTATCTCTGGAGGTAGAACTGCTACCGTGGCCGCCTCCTCGGCTCAAGAGAGGCTCTTCTGCATCATCCTCATCAAAGCCATGAAAGGTCGAGGTGTCGCTTTCCGATGTGGAACCGAACAAGTCTTCCGTAGTGTGTGCTGGCGCTGCTTCCTCCTTCCTGCCTTCTCTTCCCAAATGAGCTGACATGTATGATGAATATATCAGCACATGGGTTAAGCAACAGGCATCATCATTATTTTTTTTAATAATCATAATTATCAAACAATGCAGACTATCACCTTGGTAGGTGTAAATGTGCCCACAAATCAACAACAACATAGGACAGAAAATAGCAGTAAGAAAAAGTAAAAAGGGGTTGGTTTCTTTTTTAAAGAAAAAAATTTACAACAACACAGAGGCCCATGGGCATGGCAGCGAAAGGGTTAATGTTTTCCTCTCGTCAAGAGACATTAAAATATTTTCTCTTGATTACGTTTTAAAAGATATTTAGACCATATAAATAATTAGAAGCTGCTAGCTTTAAGCACAATGATTGTCCTTCAGATTGGTATCAACTGTCATGAATTTACTGCTGTAGATTAACTTACTAGTTAATTCATGAGTATTGAAGTGGGGTTTGTTTTGTTTTGTTTTTTAATTCTCATCCCTGTCTCTTCCTGTCCCTTCCCTAAAGTGGTTCCTCTGAAGACAAAGTGAAAAACATTTTAAAAACTAAATATTCATTAAATTAATATATCCACGTTAGAAATTTTATGGAGTGTCTTGTGAAAAAAAATTCTACACCATCCAGCAGCCAAAACTGCCAAAATAAAGAATGATCTGCTGTCGGGGGACACTCAAAAGTTTAGAAAGTCTTTGAGTCCATTTTTTCCAGATGGGGTATGAAATCCTCAGCACAGACCATCAGAAGCAACAACAACAACAACAGCCACAAAAATTTTAATGAAATCTGTAAAACTGAACTTTTTTTCAGAATCAAATGTGATATGTAATTTGCAGTAACAGATGTCAGAATCCCACCTCAGGAAATACAGGGGGAAATATGTTCCCTGAGGCCTAAGAAAATGAAAACATTGTGTTTGGTACTGAAGGTTTGTTGTCCTCTTCAGAAGCACTAACTAACATGATGATACACCAATTGCTTGGTCCCTTAAGCTGAAGGAAGCTGCTCTGTTGCAATTATACTGCATTTCCTAAGGAACAGACATAGAATCAAATCATGTACCTCAAAAGGAAATGAATATAATAAAAGAATTGATAAGTAAAATAAACACTTCATAAGGATGTGATTTGACTGACTGAATATTGGAAAGAAACAAAAGAATCCTCATAGTCTCTCCTCCACTAGTCTTTCATCACCAAGAAAAGTAGATATGGCAACTACCAGTCATTACTATTACAGCTTAAAAGTCTATATATAGTTGCACCTAAGCCATTCTCATCACACATGTATCACTCAGACAGAGAACCCTTGCAAATGACTCAGATGGATGAGAATTTGTAAAAAGTGTTTAATGGAATTGTTTTGGGGGCTTGTACCCTATCTGTGGACAACAGCTACACAGGGCCTGATAATTTCCTTTGAAATACAATGAGGACACCAACACATTTGTGCATTTCAGTCATGTTCTGAAGATAAATATGAAATTACCATAACAAACAGCTACATGACTGAATATTTGGATCCCTGTCATTGTGCAAGGTTGGGACAATGTTGAAGTGAGCAAGGCTGGGAGATAATACCCAAGGCAAAAGGGAAAATGGAAGTCACTTTTCCAGTATCACAGCATAGTCAGTGTAAGCTTCTTTTCCTTATTATGAAGCAAACACAAAAGTAAAAACAGATTCATATTAGTGTCTGTACAGCACTTGTAGCAAAGTCCCTCAGAAGACTAAGAGTTGTCACTGGTCCCCTGATCACTAATTTTTTTCACCTCAGGATATCTTCAAAGGACAGAACAACTAAAGAGGACATTTGTCATTTAGGGCCCAGTCCTGCTCCCTTTGAATTTAATAGGAATTTTGCTATTAAATTTCAATGGGAGCATGAGTAGGCTGTTATTTTAATACCAGACCTCTCTAAATTACATTTCAGCAGTTATACAACAAACACTTTCCAACAAATAAGGAGCAGAAGTAGCAGCAAATATGAAAATTTCAAATGTCAACATTTTCTTTTGTTTTCTGATGAATGATCCATGGCCTTTCTTCCTCCCCCTCCAAAGAACCATAACAACTGGGAAATTTTAATTGGAGCCAGAATACGTTACTGTTAAGAGACCCCATTCCCTTCTCCATCTAAAAATAACAGCTTAGCTAGGACCAAAAAAAGAAAAAAAGAAAAAAGGAAAGAATAAAGAAGAAAAAACAACCAACAACCCAGAAATAAAAAGATTTCAGGAAGTTCAGGATGGGAAAAGATGCAACTTCTTAAATTTAAAAAGAGACAGAGGAAGAAAACATAAATAAAAGCTCTTTAAACAAAATTAATGATAGTCATCTTGTAAGAGGATAATTCTTGACAGCTACTGCCATTCCTACCCTGTAATTTCCCCTCTCTTTCTTTTTTGGATGAAGAAATGCATGAAATGTGTAATCAATGGAAATGCTTGTCATGCAACTTTCATAAATCTTGAAAGTAATTTACATTTGTAATTACAGCATTTGAAGATAGAGCCCATCCTTTAACATTGTCATAGGATTTTCTCTCTCCATTTAAATAAAAACAAGTATACACAGCCAATAAATAAAATATAGCATTATATAGATAGATTCATAGATGATATCAGGTCTTGTCAGCACATTAGCAGAACAGAAACTTTCAGAACCATCCTTCCCCACAAACAATAAGCAAACCGCCCCAAAATATTAGAAAGAACCAAAAGGGAAATCATGCTAATGTGTTCATATTAGAAAGTTGCAAGGAGGAGTCACCTACCCGAGCGTCCACAGTCTGAGCAAGACACAAGCTCCTCCGGACGGCCACTTTTTTTGTTCATATTGGAGCCTCCAAGGCAAAAGTCACAGTAGTTGTTTGGAATGATGGCCCCATCTGGTCCTTTCTGGGCTGCAGGCAGGTTAGAAATCATAGTCACTTTAAAAACACATAGTATGTACATTTCTCCCTTCCCCTCTTTGCTGCCACATGAATTTGATGAATTTGTAGACAATAGCCTTCCCCAAATATTTTCAATTACGGTGACAAGTGGATTGTACAAATCACTTTCATTGTAAGTACATTATGTACCATGGCAGAGAGCTCTGAGACTCTTCCGAACATACTGTTCATATGGGTAAGTTTGCTGTGTGACATCCTGTTCTCCCTTAACACTTGGAGAAGTTGTGTTGATACTAAGCAATCGTAAGTGAGGGGTTTTTTAAGAAACACTGTCAGCTTAAACATCCCATTTCTCACGCTAAAATGTTTAACCTTCATTTATTTGATTTTTATAAATAACTCTTAGGGTTTCTATAACAGAACAAAATGAAAATGAGAAAAGCATTGTCTCTCTTTAGCTTGTGTACTTTGTCCCTTTGACATCACTTTATACACAGTAAATCTCACTGTTTTCTTGTATAATCAGTTAGAACCTAATCCTGCACTGGAATCTGCTAGCAATCCGTGTGTCCATACTGAATCCCAAATATATAGAGTCTCTGCTAACAGACCCGCAGGCAAAATCATAGTCTTAGCCAGTATTACCTATCACTTATCTTCCAAACACCAACAGGGGAAGAAATATAAAATAGGAAATTGTAAATCCACAGAACACGACAGAACTCCAAATTCACACCAGGATTCCCAAAAGTTTTATGAACAGATGAATGAATTAGTGCATATTCATGCTTCTGCATATAAATCATGCACAGTTTCTCATTTCAACAAAGGATTTGTCTACATACAGATATATACCTACTTGACTTAATCAATACAAGACATTTTTTAAATGGTTTAAGGGTGTCTGCAGAAGAGTTTGCACCAGTTGAAAAATACACCTCTTTTCAGGACATTGAAGTGCTTATGTGCAGGGAAAAAAACGAGACTCCACTGAATACATGTGGTTTAAAAACAAAAGAAAAGGACCTCAGAAAATTAACTTTCAAATTCCATAGGGCTCTAGTTCAAAACACATTTTTAAAAATGCTGGGCTTGGCTAAACAGGAATACTTAGTGGGTTTTTTTTTAAAGCCCCAGCTTGTGGGGGCAAACAAGCTTTAACAGAAAACTGGATAAATGCATGAGTGCAGTTGAATGAGGGGGTTGCTTGTGATGGTCGGAGGCAGGACTCAATGGCCAAGAAGCTCACTTCCAGTTTATGTCTTTTTTTCCTAAAGCTCATGCTTCAGGATTTCAACTGGCCACTGATAGGGGATCAGAAAAGGATTCCCCCACCCCAATGTATTCTGGGATATTTGTATCCCCTTTCTCTGAAGCATTCTGGATGGCCCTGGCTACAGATGAGCTGCTGAGTGGGCTGAGCCAGAGGTTTGAGGTGGCACTAAGTATTCTCTCTCTCAAGTACTTGCCTACCTGGTTCTTGCTCACATGCTCAGGTTCTAACTGAATGTCATATGTGGAACTGGGAGGGAATTTCCTGCATGTCAGATTGGCAGTGACCTTGTAGAGTTTCCCCTTTCTCTGCAGTGTGGAGGTTCAGGTCACTTGCCAGGATTATATGGGTATATCTCATTTAACCATTTCCCTGCCATTACTTAGGTCTCAAGCACTGGTACACCTCAGTCCCTCCAATTCACTCCTTATGGCACATAATAGTCTAGTCTTGAGTGAGTTTAATTACTTTTGTCTCATGTCATTGTTGGGTTCAGTGTATGGATGGCTGGGTGGTGTTGGTGGCTTGTGATAAATAGAAAATCACACTACATGATCTAGAGATCCCTCTTGGGCTTAAAATCTATGCCTCCTGGAGTCATATGAATATCTGGGCTTTCATTGAATAAAGCCTTCATGGTTGCAGAGCAGTTTTGACCCTGTTATGCATCCGAATATTTCAAAATTAGAAAAGTTTCAGCTGTACTTGTATATGTGCACCCTAGAAGTTCACAAACCAGAAGGCAAAAGAAAAGAGCTCCATGTTTATTTTTAAAATGTCATGGATTTTATGCCAATCTCAATTTTGGGGGCCTGACTCTGGATTTTTAAATGCCTAGGGTGGCAACACTACAAGAAAAGGGCCTAATTGTCCATTGTCTTGCACTATGTTATAGTCCTTATATCTGTGCAACTTGAGTGCAAAATGTGTGTAAAATGCTATTATATGATGAGTGGAGAAGTCTAATTTGGTAATATTTTGCACCCACTTTGCACAATGGCCACTCAAGTTGCTAGGTAGTGGAGAATCAGGACGAAGGCGTTTGTTTTAGGTTGGGGTTTTTGGTGTATGCTATTTTAAATGAATACAGGAAATTGTTCAAAATTAGATGGATGACATTAAAAAGAGATTTTCTTACCCTCTTCACTCTTGCTCTGTTCCCTTCCTAACTTTTTTCTTTCCATTTGTCTTATCCTCGCCTATGTTAACACACCCACATAAACAAATAAATAGAACACTCTATTTGCTGTCATCTCAGAGTTCACTCTGCCTATGTGTTCTAACCCTTTCCTCACCCAGTATCTGTCTTGTCTCTTTACACTATAAGCTCTTCAGGGTAGGAACCACGTACCACTCAGTGTTTGTATAGCACCTGGCACAATGGAGGGATATTTCTGGTTGACCCTCTGGCCCTAGCACGGTAAACAGGGGTGGTAATAATCTTCACAGCGTGGTGGTTCCCACTACACCCGATTCACTTTTGGCTTGATTCAAAACTCACAAAAATGAGTAGGAGTCTTTCTACTGAATTCAAAGGGCTTTGAATCAGGCCACTGGCTTCCATTTGAAGCCAACAATTCCAGAGCATAGGGGAGCTTATCCTGAAACAAGCCCCATAGATTTTCTTGGAAAACATTACAAGCTTTTCTGTCTCAGACTTTTATCCAGCTTTCCCCTCCTGTCCCTGTTCTCCACCGTTCACATCTATGACCAACATTTGGCTGCTGATTCAGTTCAAAGCAAGCCAATAACCCATCCTGTGTATTTCAAGTCTTCCCTTGGAGAACTCAATGATACATAATCTGAACCTATAGGGTAAGTGCCACCGTGATTCTCTTGCTCTCTTTGCCCCCCTACTGCTGACAGATCTCATCCCTCTGCAGGTCTGACACGTTTCCATAGCAACCAGAATCCTAGCTCTGACTGCCTCTGGTCTTGCCACCTGTTATTACTTCATCTCTCAAGTGTAAGGAATTGTAGCATGTCCCCTTATTTTGCTGTTCCAAATGCATCTACAGAGAATAGACAGACTCAGGAAACAAGAAATTAAAATAAAAAAATACACCAATGAAGGCTCGGGGGAGCAGCAGTTAAAAGATATACCTCAGGAAAAGTCACCCTCTAACAGAACAAGAGATGGATTCCCAGCTGGAGATGTACCCACTTCCACCTGGCTTAGTCCCAGTTTTTAATGAGAAATTGAGAAATTCGTGGGGGTGGATTGCAAAGGGAATGGCTCATTGCACAGACCTGCCAGTTTTTTAGTGTAGGGCAGAGCTCTGGATTAGAATAACACAAGGTAGATGACACAATCTGTGGATGGAAACTGCACCCATGAGGCATGTGTGGACTCGTATTATCTAATTTCAAGCCCAGCCAAACACTGGGAGCTTTCTTGGGTTTATATTCTACTTTGGAGAAAAGTGTAGAGAGGTGAGAGAGAAACATTATAATAAAAAAGTGTAAATTATACTCTATAGAGAACCTAAACCTAAGCCAGCCTTGCTTTTTGAGGAAGATGTAGTGGTGCAGAATATGATTTTCAAAGGTTAATTACTCAATCAAATCAGGATCAGTTTCCTCCAAAACACTTTCAACTGCTTTTCCTTGATGAAGGCTACTTTCCTGCCAAAATTTCAGCACTTAGACATTTAAGGGCTCAAGAAGATTTTAAATAATGGGGAAAACATAGTTTTTAACCATCCCAACATTCAAAATGACTGAACAGGTTTTCCTCAAACTTCCCCACAACTTTCATGCATGGAAAATGTCAGCCCAAAAGGTAAATGTTTGGGAAAGTTATGATTAACTAAAAACAGAGGATACAAATGGGAACTGTTAAAAAACCTTAATGACAGCAGCCGCTTCTAATTCTGACAGCACCCTCAACTTTTATTTTTAAAGTGGCATTTACATTCATTTCTTTTAAAAAAACAATGCAGGAAAAGAAGGAAAAATTGAATGAACTAATGAGATATCTAATCAGGATATATGCAGCTGTTCACTGAAAAGGCACCGCTATAGGATTTCCTGTAGGAAGGTGGGTATCGGAGCA